CTAATATTTTATTGAGGATTTTTACTTTCTATGTTTATAAGAGGTATTCTGTAGTTTTCCTTTCTTGGATTATATGTAGCTGGTTTTGGTATTAGGGTACTTTTGGCCTCATGGAATGAGTTAGTAAGTCTTCTCTGCCTTTGTGTTCTGAATTGTATTTTTTCCTTAAGTGTTTGGTAGAATTCACTAGTCAGATCATCTGAGCCTCGTTTCGTTTCTTTTTTTTTTTTGAAAGGTTATTAATTATTGATTCCATTTCTCTATTGAATAATAAATATAGGGTTATTGAAGTCTTATTTCTTCTTGTGTGGGTTTTGGCAGTTTGTGTCTTTTTAAGGACGTGGTACATTTCATCTAAGTTATCAAATTTGTGGATGTCATCTTGAAACAAGCTGAAGCAAATGATTGTAAGTAGAGCTTATTTGGACAAAGCCTGAGAATTGCAACCCAGGAGCATAGATTCAAGTTGCCCTGAATATATAACTAATAAAGAGTTGTTTGCCAGGAATTCTCACTGTTTTACAGAAGTAGCATTGATTAGTTATTGGCTATACATCGTTAAGCTATAGATGGTGAATTATAGCATTATTAGGTTAATTCATAGCTACTTATGGCAATAACAGTTTCAAGAGGTGAATGCACAGTTCAGAGGAAGTGGGCTGGTGAAGAGAGGTAAGGCGTGATTTCAGTCTTATTTTAATGTCTCTTTGGGCCTGATAATTATAAAAACTCACATTCCTCAGATAAGATCATTTCTTTGTTCACAAGCTTAGAGTTAAAATTATTCATGATATTCCTTTTTTTTAAATTGTCTATGGGATCAGTAGTTATTTCTAATATTGGTCATTTGTTTTCTCTCTCAGTTATCCTAGCTAGAGATATATCAGTTTTATTCATTTTTTTCCCCCAAAGAACCAGGTTTTGGTTTTGTTGATATTTTTTGTTTCCCTTTTCTCTTGTTTGCATTCTGCTCTGATCTTGATTGTTTCTTTCTGCTTGTTTCTTTTCTCTTATTTTCTTAAGGAGGTAACTTAGCTTATTGAGTTTAGATCTTCTTTTCTAATAATGTGCATTCTTCCTGTAAGCTTTTGATGAAAGAGTAAAACTCTGAAATGTTTAAAGAGGTTTATTTTGAGCCAGATATGAGTGACCAAGGTCCAAGACAGTCTCAAGAAGTTCTGAGAACATATGCCTAAGGTGGTTGGGTTACAGCTTGGCTTTAAACGTTTTGGGGAGACATAAGACATCAATCAGTATTATGAAGGGTATACATTGGTTTGGTCTGAAAAGCCAGGACAATTCAAAGTGGGGGCTTATGAGTCATAACTGGATTAAAAGATTTTCTGGTTGGCAATTGGTTGGAAGAGTTACTATATAAAGACCTGAAATCAATGGGAAAGAGCATCTGGATTAAGATAAAGGGTTGTGGATACCAAGGTTCTTAATACATAGATCAAGTCTCAAAGGCCCTTAGAGACGATAGATTGCAAATGTTTCCTATTCAGACCTTTTAAAAGGTGCTAAACTCAGTTAATTGCTTCAGGATTGTGAGGACCTGGAGGCAGGGCAGGGATCTGGTTATGTTAATAGAGTCTTTAAAAATTCAGTTTTTCTCCACCAAGAAAATGGCTTTGCCGGGTCATTTCAAAATATGACAAACATATTTTGTGGTAAAATATTTTTATTTCCTTCTTTATCTATCATGTGATGTTATGCCAGAGACAAGTTGGAAAGTAGCCATTTATATAGTGTTAAATAAAACCCCTCTGATGAAATTTCATGGTTTATAGGGTGTGACTCCCCAGATACCTTAGATGGGAATTTGGGTAAAAGGAAAAAGGTCAAAGTTTAGTCCTCAAAGCACTGCTTTGCCACATCGCACAGATTTTGTTAAGCTGTGTTTTTTTCAATTACTTCAAAATATTTTAAAATTTCTTTTTAGACATTTGAAGATTTTTTTTTTAGAAGTATGCTGTTTAATTTCCACATAATTGGAGGGCGGGTGGAAGTTCCCAGCTGTCTTTATGTTAATGATTTCTAGTTTATTCCTATTGTAATTTGAGAACATAACTTTGCATAATTTTCATTTTTTGCAATTTGTTACAGTATATTAAATGGCCCACCATGGGGTCTGCTTGTTGAATGTTCCATGTGAACTTGAGTGGAATGTGTTTTCTGCTGATGTTGAATGGAATATTCTATAAATGTCAATTCTATCAAATTGGTTAACGTTGTTTAGTTTAACTATATCCTTACTGACATTCTGCCTGCTGGGTTTATCAAGGTGGCTGACTGGAGTATTGACATCTCTAAGTGAACTTCTTTTCTCCTTTCTGTTCTGTCAATTTTCACCTCATTTATTTTGATCCTCTCTTGTTAGGCATATACATTTTTAGGATTGTTATGTCTTCATGTCTTCATTATCGTTGTTATAAAATGCCCCTCTTTAACACTAACAATGGAAGAATGTTTGCAGTCTGCTTCGTCTGAAATTAATCTCCAGTATCACTTTTTTTTATTTTTGAAACGAGTCTTACTCCTTCGCCCAGGCTGGATAGCAGGGGTGCAATCTCAGCTCACTGCAACCTCTGCCTCTGGGGTTCAAGAGATTTTCCTGCCTTAGCCTCCCAAGTAGCTGGGATTATAATTATGTGCCACCACGCCTGGCTAATTTCTGTATTTTTAGTAAAGACAGTGTTTCACCACGTTGGCCACCCCGTCTCAATCTCTTGTTCTTGTGATTTGCCTGCCTCAGCCTCCCAAAGTGCTGGGATACAGGTGTGAGCCACCACACATGGCCCCAATATCATTTTTTAAAAGACTTCTTGGGAGCCTATTTATTTTTTGCAAGATTTGCAGTTTCATTTAGCAACTCATGTGTACTGTGTTGTCAGATTATCTGTGAGAGTCTGTTAGGAGTGATGTTAATCATTGATTAGGAAGGGTGATGAGTCAGGGGATTAATTTTTAAGGTGGATAATTCACTAATGAATGCTTTTCTATGATGGCAGTTTTTGTTTCACCAGTCAACTTTGTGTACCAGATAAAGAACATTCATGTAAGATGGAGTATCTGTATTTATTGGAGTGCTAATTTATTGGGGCGCTAATTCAGATCTCACTGACCCTTATTTAGTGTACAATTAAATAAGATTGTCTTCTCAACATGTTAGAAGTAGTAAGATAGAGCTGGCACTGGGAGTGGGGAGGCATGTGGCACCACCCGATGTTGAAAAAAGGGGACTGATGGACTACATTGGAATGGCTACTGTAATCACATTTACCACTGGTAAAACATTTGTCTAGAGAGGCTAAGTAATTATCTGGAAAAGTCTCTATAATTCTTTTTTTTTTTTTAAAGACTTGCAGTTTTGCTGTATGGTCAGGCTGGAGTGGAGTAGCTGTTCACAGGTGCACTGTAGCCTCAAGCCACAAGCCCAAGCCACTGTGCCTGGCTGTCTTGTAAATCTTTGTTCTATGCTGATGCCAGATCAGATAGTGAGACATCACTGTATACTTTTTTTTTTCTCTCCACTATTGATATGGGGGAAAAAGAAGATAAGTACCAGACTATCTCTTCTCACCATTCAATAACATAAGTGATTTATAATTTGATAACTTAGTCCAAAGGCATTATAGTATAAATACTAATATCAGCTATTCATGAGGTCTTAACATTTTCATAACTAACACTTATGATGCTCATTAGTTTACAGAAGCATCTTTACATCAGAAATTTTGCGTAATTTCTGGTAACAATCCTGTAAAGTAATCTTCATTTTACTAGTGGACCTGGGCTTGGAGTCTGAAAGGGAATTATGTGGAATTATGTCCCCAAAGCATCAGATCCCAGATCTTATTTTTCCCCCCACTATACTATACTACTTCTTAATAGAATAAGAGGCCTCAAAACATTCCCCATGCTGGACTAGTTTACCATATCAAATTTAGATCGTGTGTTTCATGAGATTTGATTTTATTTTCTCTTTTCTGACCTTTTTTTTATTTTTTCCTTTTTCTAACACAGATAACAGGAAACAATCTTTTCCTTTCCTTTCCTTTCCTCTTCCCCTTCCCCTTCCCCTTCCTTTCTCTCCCCTTCCCCTCCTCCTCCTCCTCCTCCTCCTCCTCCCCTTTCTTCCCCCCTCCCTCCCCTTGATGGCATGATGCTCTGCTCTGTAGTTCTGTTGCCTGTTCCATTCCCCATTCCCCTTTCCTTTCCTTTCCTTTCCTTGATAGCATCTCTCTCTGTCACCCTTGATGGCATCTCACTCTGTCAGCCAGGCTGGAGTGCGGTGGCACAATCTCAGGTCACTGCAACCTCCACCTCCTGGGTTCAAGCGATTCTCATGCCTCAGCCTCCTGAGTAGCTGGGAGTAAAGGCACATGCCACTGTACCTGGCCAATTTTTGTATTTGTAGTAGAGACAGGGTTTCGCTGTGTTGGCCAGGCTGATCTCGAACTCCTGATCTCGAGTGATCTGTCTGCCTCAGACTCCCAAAGTACTGGGATTACAGTTGTGAGCCACTGTACCTGACATATTTTATTTCATTTATTTTTCTGAGATGAAGTCTTGCTCTGTTACCCAGGTTGGAGGGCAGTGGCATGATATCAGAACACTGCAACCTCTGCCTCCCGGGTTCAAGTAGTTCTTCTGCCTCAGCCTCACCCACCACCATGCCTGGCTAATCTTTGTATTTTTAGTGGAGATGGGGTTTCGCCATGTTAGCCAGGCTGGTCTTGAACTCCTGACCTCAGATGATCCAACCGCCTTGGCCTCCCAAAAGGCTGGGATTACAGGTGTGAACCACCGTGCCTGGCCTTTATGAAATTTTAAAATTACACCATGCTTAAACTGTATACCCTAATATCAATTTCTGTGGATTATGTAGCAATGTCTGTCTTTTTACTTCCTAATAGTTAATGATTGATTTTCAAATGAATTGATTTAAAATGGAAACCTAAGTATTATCTAATTTTTTAAAAAATTTGTCTTTGTAGAAGCTGAAACCTATCAACACTCTTCAAAATGCAATGGAATGTGCCACGGATTGTATCTCAACTGGCACGCAGGACATGCTTGGAACTACATAAAGCTGGTCTTTTCGGACACTGTCAAAACGTAAAAGGACCTTTACTTTTGTGCAATGCTGAATCCAAAGTGGTTTTGGTGCAAGGTCCTCAAAAACAATGGTTGCATTTATCTGCTGCCCAGTGTGTTGCAAAGGAAAGGAGGCTGTTGGATGCTCATCCACCCCAACCAGGAGTCCTTCACCATAAGCAAGGGAAGCAGTGTGTTTCATCCAGGAGGGATTTTTCATCCCGTGGCACAGCGCACGGAACTCCGGAAATAAAGGAAGAGCCTGACCCTTTACAAGACAAATCTATTAGTCTTTATCAACGATTCAAGAAAACGTTTAGACAGTATGGAAAAGTTTTGATTCCGGTGCATCTAATAACTTCTGGTGTTTGGTTTGGAACATTTTATTATGCAGCCTTGAAGTAAGTTTTTGCTTAGTTGAATGCCTTTCCCTATCTTTTAAATTGTACTAATGATAGCTTTAGTTTTTTGTGTTTTTTTTTTTTTTAGACAGAGTTTTGCTCTTATTGCCCAGGCTAGAGTGCAATGGCATGATCTCAGCTCACCAAAACCACCGCCTCCCAAGTTCAAGCAATTCTCCTGCCTCAGCCTCCCGAGCTGCTGGGATTATAGGCATGCATCACCATGCCTGGCTAATTTTTTGTATTTTTAGTAGAGAAGGGGGTTTCTCCATGTTGGTCAGGCTGGTCTCGAACTCCCGACCTCAGGTGATCAGCCTGCCTCTGCCTCCCAAAGTGCTGGGATTACAGGCATGAGTCCCTGTGCGCAGCCCAGATAGCCTTAGATTTAAAGATTTTTAAATGCTTTAATGTTTTTCATCAATGGAAGATAACTACTTTTCATTGCTTTTTTCACATTTTAATAATAATAGCTAACATTTGCTTACTGTTTGGAGCAAGCATCTGGAGAAATTTTTAACTGTTGTTTAATCTTCCCAGCAACCATATAAAGCAAGTTACACAATTGCACCCATTTTATGAATGAGAAAACAGATTAGGCAAGGAGAAGTAAAAATAGTTCAGCTTTTCCCAAAATAACTCAGCTGGTAAGAGGTGATGCCTGGACTAAAAACCCAGTTAGGTGTGTGTTATCTCAAAGCACACACTCCTGTATGCAGATTTCGTCCTGGCATTCAGGAGACCACAGACATAAAATGATCAAATTTCAGAAATTTGGCGGCAGCATGACTCCACAATTAGATATTTCTTAGAATGTTCATAAATGTGAAAAGATACCTATTTTGCATTTGTATGGTTTTGGTGGGAAATTCAGAATATTGTGCCAAAGCTTGGCTACTAATCTGTTTGCACTGATATTATGCAAGTCCAGTAAGTGTCAAAGGAAGGTCTTTTGTTCTTATCAGAAGTGAAGCTTGCAGGTCGAGCCTCCCAGTGTTTTGAAACATACAATTTTAAATGCACCTCCTTTGTTAATACTGTGCCTTTCCCGTAAGGTAAGTTATTTGCTTCACGCTGCTTTAGACGCAGGACTGGTGATTTCCCATTTCTGCCACTAGTCGGCTGAGTTCCCATTCCTCAGTGTCCTGGTGTGCATGAAGGACTTACACTTCAGTACTCTCCTGATGTATTGAGAATTATTTTATACTTTGCAGAGTTGAGTGATTTTCAGTGCTTGATTATATTTAACTGCCTGATACCGACACATTAACAAAATATGGTTAGTGTTGTACATAAAGCTCACTCCTTAGAAGCACCCTGTTGCAGACTAAGTTATACCTCTTCCAGGAAGATGGGATAGAAACTGCTTATTTTGGGGAAACACAGGTTCACATAGATTTCTAGACAAAATTTCTAAAAGGATTTTTTTTCACCTCGTATAATTGATGCTGTTCTGTTTCACTTTATATCTTTACATTATGTTCCTGTTATTCAATTATATCCTTCTTTCTTGCCTATCATTTTCTTTAAGAATTGTATCTTTCCTTGCAGAAGAGTCTTATGTATATATTTGATGGAATTGTTTCTTTGTTTATTAATGACATTTTTGGGCACATTTACTATTTATAGAAGTCTTCAAAACTGCTGTTAGTTTTTTTAACAGAACATGAAGTTACCATTTTGATCAAAAGTTATTGTAGGCGTTCAGTTCTGCTTTGTAATGAATAGATTTCCACATATTAAATTTTCTTTTTTGAGTCATGGAGGATTCTTATGATTCAGTCTGTGAAAGATGACATGAAAAATACTTGTTTCCTTTGCCCTTGTCAGGTTGCCCATAAGGCAAGGCATTCAGCCTCCTGGCTGGCCCTTAAACGGAGAAATTCAAGCTTTTCATTAATTGAATATGAGATTCTCATTTAGGCTTATTAAGAATACTTTTGTTCCTTTTACTTTTTCTTATTCTCTTTGGTAAAAGTTCTGTGACTAAAAAAGTAGACCCAGAATAATGCTGTGTGGCACCTAAAGCAATTGTGGGTGATACTGTGTCATCCCCTGTGAAATGCAACTTTCTTAGTTTTATCTTCCCTTTTTTTTTTTCTTCAGAATGCTTATATGTAAACATCGTGGTACAACTATCAACTTTAAAATTATGCCCTTCCTCATTACCCCTTGCTTTGGGGCTATTAGCATGAGAATCTGGTTGCCAGAGCACCACTACTGCCCTCCATAACCACTGGGTCAATTCTGTCATAGCATCACATAGCGAATTTATAATGGGCAGAATGGGTTGCTTTCCAGAACAGTCCTTCTTAAAGTTTTTATTAGATCCTTCAAAAATTGAAAGTTGATTTGTTCCTAAATGAAGATCTTAATCACAGGTAATGCTTAAGAAAGCTGAACTCATGAATGAAAGAAAAAGGAATTCGAATATTTTCACTGTAGGATGATTGTATTGTAAAAATGGAAGTTGATTATACTAAATACAGATTTTTCAATTCACCTGACAAGAGTCTGTATTTTAGTGTTGTTTGTTTCAGGTGGAAAAAGTTCTGTGTTGTTTGTTTGTTGCCTACTTACTATTAAAAGAAAGGGAGAAAAATAGTTTGTAGCTGGAAAGATGAGCATTTGACTTCATGCATTACTGACCAGTGTTTATCTTAGTTACTCTGACAGCTCGCATTACTACCTTTCTAGACACCCTAGAGCAAAATGTCATTCTATATTTAGTTAACACAGTGATGAAGTTCTCAGGCTTTTGAAATACTTTATTTCAGGGAGTTCTAAATTGTGCGTGCTAATAGATTTTACTTTAAACCAAGCTTCGTTGCTGTTCCTATCTGGCAAAGCCTTGCAGAGATCTGATGTCTTCTGTCTAGAAATGCTTTGTTTGATCAAATGTGGCTCACCAATGATGGTGTGGTCCATGCATTTAGATGCCTTGTGTTTGAGACCTCAAGTTCCTAAAATTACAAACTCACTCTGAGGCAAACCCCTGACTGATTTCTACTGTACTTTATCCAGATGGTGAATGTGGTTTTCCTTTGTGTGTTTCTTCATCTGTGGAAACAGTTGTAAAGCTGGCAGTTTTTGAAGCACAGATTCCTGGCTGACCATGGACACTTCAGAGTAGAACGTGACAAACAGTGGATGTTTGTTTGAATCAGACCCTCATTAGTACATTCAGTAAATCCAGAGGAAATGGAAGTTATTTTTAAGAAAAGTCATCAACTCAACAGTTTAGAAATAAGTGGAACTAGATGCTTGCTTCATCTGACAAAAGATGCATGCCAGCAATGACACAGCTTGTGCTTGGTGTCTCAGTCCATTGTTGTATGACCTTTTATTTTTAATTTTTTATAGAGACAAGGCCTTGCTGTGTTGCCCAGGCTAGTCTGGAACTCCAGGGCTTAAGCGGTATACCCATTTCACCTCCCAAAGCATTGTTGTCTGATCTTTGTGATAAATGGTGGTGGCGGTGGTGGTGGTGGTAGTTGTTTTAATAACTCACTTTCATATTTGGCCAAATGTTTTTTTTTTCCTTCATGATTGCTGCTAAATATATAGATTTAACATACTGGGCTTAATTGGAATTAGGAAATAATGGAATAATATCATAATTGGATTGGTACTAGAAGACATAATTAGCATGTTATGGCAGGATGTTACCATGCATAGTTATTTTAGTGGCTTGATTAAATTCATTGAGTAATGGCTATGCTGTTAAACCTTATTTTAATGAGATTTAATTCCTATCTAGAAAGAGATTTGAAAAATAATTGAAACTGAAGATAGAGGAAAGAATGAAGATAGAAATGAGATTGGACTCAGTTTATTTTTTAATTTATCTCTTTAAAGTTTCCTTAAGTTCTGGTTTCCTCTGACTTCTGATGATAAGTAATTTTAATAGTCCTTTATTGAGGATGATCAGCCATATCTGTTAAGGTTGCTCCCTGACTGTGTAGTATTACGGTGAAGTCACAGACTGGGACATCTTTTCCCTAGTTGATATTAAAAATAAAGAGTTTACAGAATGGCTCCAGGCAATGCTCTTGCTTAATGACATAAGGAAAGCTTTTACAGTGGAGGTCTCTATGGACCCTTGCCTTCACCAAGAGGCAAACTCTGTAATACCAAGGATAGGACAGACTGGCCTTATGTGCCCCTGTTGTGATGTGCTGAGATGGACAGTGTCCACTCTGTCGTTTTCCTGTGGGAAAATGCTTACCTGAATCTCATCTTGAGGAAACAATCAGACAAACTCAAGTTGAGAGATGTCCTACCAAGCAGCGGGTCTGGATGCTTCACAAATCTCAATGTCAAGAAAGACTGCCTGTCCTCCTCCACCATAGAAGTGCTGAGAAGCACTTCTAGAGAAAAGGAGACTAGAGAGGCAGGAAAAATAGCCATAAGGGAAACACTGGGACAGTCTAGGAAACTGTAATCTAGATGTATGTATGTTATAAATGTTGCATTTATGTAGATAAATGTCCTCCTTCTGATTTAGAGGTGAAGAGTTACAGCGTCCAGGAGAGCAACAGCCATTGTAGCAAAATGTTAATAGGAAACTGTAAATAAAGAGGTTGCGACTCAGGAATGCCAATAATCCGGAAACTGGAAATAAAGAAGCCAGGGATGGGGAACGTTGATAATCGGGAAACTGGAAATAAAGCAGCCAGGGATGAGGAATGTTGATAATCAGGAAACGAAATAAGTCGTGGCTCAGGTTGGAGACTTTCTCTGCCTCTCCTCCCTCCAGAAATTTGTCACAATATATAGTAATTGCTTCTTCACCTGCCTTAAGTCTGTTAATAGAATGGAAGCATCCTTTAAGAGTAATTGAAGTTTTCATCAAACCCATAGTATCATAATTTTTTTTGCATAATAACACATTCTCATAATAATAAGTGATGTTAAAATATCTCTTGTGTTTATAATGCAATTTTACACAAAATTAGATGTAATTTTAAAGGTAAAAATCTTAGGTCTTAAAATGTGAGTTGGAGCAATCTAAGGTTGAGGAAACTAAGACCAGGCAAATGATTCTCATCCTTTCTCATAGTTTACTTAAAGCTGTCAATTTTACTCTAATAAATGCTTCTATTTTTCTAAACATACTAACTGGGATGCCCACGTGCAGAAGCAAATAGAAGTTGTAGGCAGTAAGATACCACATGATGTGATATTTGTGTGCATGTTGCATATTGTACATCAAGTAAGATGTTCTCTTAGGGTGAAGTTAAAGGGCTTGATAATGCACAATCAACTTTTAAGCAAAATGTAATTAATAAAATTATAATGTGGTTTTGGTATTTTCAGATAAGTTTGGAAAATAGCTTTAAGTTTATATATATGAAAATAACCTTTTTTTTTTTTTTTTTTCGTAGAGGAGTGAATCTCGTTCCTTTTCTAGAATTCATTGGGTTACCTGACAGTGTGGTAAACATCCTGAAAAACTCCCAGAGTGGAAATGCATTGACAGCGTATGCCATGTTTAAGGTGGGTACTGTTACAAACCCATTGCTCCTCAGACCTCACCATTGACCTGCTCACTTCCCTATGAGACTCCATGTTAGCTCCCAATCTTGTTTTGTAACTTAAAACATTGTATTTCATCTCTGATGTGTCTGGTGACTAATGTAAAATAACAAAATTTTAAAGTGGAAGTAAAATGTTTTACTTTTTAGGTTTTAGGAAGAAATGTCTTAAAAACTGGTAGATCATTCATAACTTGCTGTGATCAGATAATTGGTAGGCTTTTGTGTTTTTCCATGGTAGGGGTCATCTGTTTGATATTACTCCTATTGATAAATGGAGATAGGATTATTTTAAGGCATAATTATATTTGTTTTTCCTTATTCCGTGATCTGCATGCCACCTGACTTGTTAGCAAAATTTAGCATTTATTTTACTGTTTATAATAGTTCATCTTTTCTTAGCAAGTAAAATAGGTTTAATCCAAATTATCTTATGTCTTACGTGATAAACTGTTTTTTGTTAGATCTTAACCCAACATATCTTTTATTTTAGAAGTTGAAATCTTTTATAACCATTCTCTGGATTCAGACATCATCTTGATAGCTTCTATGCCTGTGTGTTTTTATTTTGGAAGGGAAGATTTCACTGTAAATTGTGGAATATAGCCATATTAATATCATTCTCTGAATTGACCAGTATTTATGAGGGTCTATGAAACTTTTACCTAAGAAAGTTGAAAACGCTTAGAAACTGGATGTTATTTTATTTTACCTCTGTTATATAAGAATAAGAATTACAGTTTTACAGCATTACTCAAAAGTAGCATTGTTTTATTCTGCCATCCCTATTAGCATCTGCTGAAATTTTGGTAGATTTCCTCTTTTATTATAATTTTAATGAGAGGGTTAACACTTAATGTTGAGTTTTTCTACATTAAAGTATATTAAATTAATAAATTATCAAGTTTCTAGTTATGGTAGGTATAATTTTAACTCGAATAAGTCAAACTACCATGATAATGTCTACCCTCACTAATTTACTTGCTTTTATCCCACTCCCATAGCATAACAGTTGATAGCACAATCTGTGCTAGGTGTTGTTTGTTTTCTTTATTTGATTAGGAGCTCCCAGGAATTCAGAATCATGTCTTCTTTCCTGTTTTTTCACTGCGCCTGGTATTGTGTTCTGTAGGTGAATACAGTGCTCAGTGCATGTTTGTAGAGTTGGGGTTGGAAATGAAGCTGTAGGCTTCATGGTAGGGAGATGAGTACTAGTGGTGTTTTCCCCTCCTCTGTAATGTAGGAGATACGGAGGGGATTCTCCTGTGTATTATCTGTAACCCACAGTTTCTCAAATAGAACAACAAACACGGATTTATTGCTTCATCAAGACAAAGCCCCAAAATGAAGTATGGCATGAATGGTCTGGTGGCAGCTGGCTGCAGGATGTATGCACTGACTACCTCATAATCTCTTTGAAATACACCCAGGTACCGTTCTCGGTACTGGGAATAAACTAATCAAAGAAGACAGTGAAAAATACCTGCCTTGTGGAGCTGATAGTGTAGAGAATGGTGGTGGGGTGGGGAGACAAGATAAAGTTAAAAACGTGTGTGCACACAAAGTATGTGTACATAAGATGATGGTAAGTGCTAAGAAGGGAAACCAAGGATGGGGGTGTGTTTGTGGTATTTATTTGTTTTTCAATGGGAGATGGCATACCTTGCTGAGAAGGTGAGAGAGTTGCTCCTCCAGGAGGAGCATTCCAAACAGAAAACCCCAAAGGCAAGATTCTGAGGCTTCAGGATTCCAGGAGAATTTGAGGGATGTGGGGAAGCCGGTGTGGCTGGAGTCGGTGAACAGGGCAGAGAATGGCCTGTCATCAGATCAGGGCAGTCTTGTAGGCACTTACAAGGACTTCAGCTTTCACTCTGAGGACATGGAAAGCCATTGAACAATTTTAAGCATCCTGCCTCTGTTCTATCAAAATTACTTTGGCTGCTATATTAACAGACCATGGCAGTACCAGGGGAAAAGCCAAGGGACCTTGGGTGAGATGTTTACAGTATTTGAGGTGAGAGGCAGTAATAGCCAGAACCCAAGTGGTAGCAGGAAGTAGTTGGATTCTGGATATGTTTTAAAGTCATGGCTGCTGCGGTTTTTCTGATAATTTGGATGTAAATTATGGAAAAGGAAGAGGAGTTGAAGCTTTCTTGTAATTTTTTGGCCTGAGCAACTGGAGGAATTGAATTGCCATTTTCTGAGATGAGAAAGACTTTGAGAGGAGCAGGTTTGAAGTAGGACAGTTGAAGATCGAGGGTCAGTTTTGAACATTCAGTCATGTGCCACCCATTGACATTTCGGCTGACCATGGACTGCATAGTGGTGGTCCCATAGGTCCCGTGTTTTACAAATATCATATTTTTACAATACCTTTTCTATATTTAGATAGGTTAGGTTAAGTATACAAATGCCCTGGTCTTATAATTGCCTGCAGTATCTGGCGTGGTAGTGTGCTATTACAGGTTTGTAGCCTAGGAGCAATAGGCTATACCTTGTAGCCTGAGTGTGCAGAAGACTGCACCATCTAGGTTTGTCTGAGTACACTCTGTGATGTTTCACACAACAGAATCACCTAATGACCCATTTCTAAGAACGTATCCCTATTAAGTAACTCATGTCTGCATTAAGTTTTGAGATCCTATTAGACACGCAAGTGGAGGTGGTTGTAGATACTGGAATTCAGGGAAAAGGTTCAGTCTGGAGATTAAAGTTAAGAATCATCAATGTGTAGATGGCACTAAAGACAACCAAGAGAGTGAGATAGATGGAGAAAATAAGAGGTCCAGGAATTGATTGTTGTCACACCATGTTCAGAGGTGGGTGAATGGGGAGGAATTGGCAAAAATGAAAAGCTGCCATGAACTGGAAGGAACCCCAGCAAATTGAGGACCTGGAGCCAAGTGAAGGGAAGTGAAAGCTGTCTCAGACAGTTCCACTGGTCCAGGGGCTGATTCCAAATTGACAAATGGATTTCGTTTTGTAGAGGTCACTGTGACTTTGAAAGCAGTTTTGGTGAAGAGATAAGGGTGAAAGCTTTCTTAATGTGAGTTTAGGAGAGAAATTAGAGATAAAGCAGACCGCTCTTCCAGAGTTTTGTTATACAGCATACCTATGGGTTTGGTTTTGTTTTGTTTGAGAATGGATCTTGCTCTGTTGCTGAGGCTGGAGTACAATGGTGCAATCACAGCTCCCTGCAGTCTTGAACTCCCAGTCTTGAACAATCCTCCCACATCAGCCCCCAAGTAGCTGGGAATACAGGCACATGCCACAACTCCCAGCTAATTTTTTTCTTTTTTTTTTCTTTTATTAGAGGTGGCAGGGTCTCATTATATTGCCCAGACTAGTCTTGAACTTCTGAGCTCAAGTAATCCTCCCACCTCAGCCTTCCAAAACACTGCGATTATAGGTGTGAGCTATTGTACCTGCCAACACCTGTAGTTTTTTTTTTGTTTTTTTTTTGTTGTTTTTTTTTTGTTTTTTTTTTTGTTTTTTTTTTTTTGAGACGGAGTTTCACTCTTGTTACCCAGGCTGGAGTGCAATGGCGCGATCTCGGCTCACCGCAACCTCCGCCTCCTGGGTTCAGGCAATTCTCCTGCCTCAGCCTCCTGAGTAGCTGGGATTACAGGCACGTGCCACCATGCCCAGCTAATGTTTTGTATTTTTAGTAGAGACGGGGTTTCACCATGTTGACCAGGATGGTCTCGATCTCTCGACCTCGTGATCCACCCGCCTCGGCCTCCCAAAGTGCTGGGATTACAAGCTTGAGCCACCGCGCCCGGCCTTTTTTTGTTTTTTGTTTGTTTGTTTGTTTGTTTTTTGAGATGTAGTTTCACTCTTGTCACCCAGGCTGGAGCAAGTGGTGTGATCCAGCTCACTCCAGCCTCTGCCTCCTGGGTTCAAGGGATTCTTCTGCTTCAGCCTCTCAAGTAACTGGGATTACAAGTACCCATCACCACAGCCGGCTAATTTTTGTGTTTCTATTAGAGACTGGATTTCACCATGGTGGCCAAGCTGGTCTTGAATTCCTGAACTCAGGTCATGCGCCCACCTCAGCCTCCTGAAGTGCTGGGATTACAGGCATGAGCCACTGCGCCCTGCCTGATTTTTGACTCAGAATGTGAGGGGCCTTTTTTGCTTTTATGGTTCTCTTTGACCAGTCATCTTGTATTTGGTATTGGGCCTTAAAGCTCTGATTAACGTTAAACCTGTGCATGTCTGCAGCAGGTGTGCCATTTTACCACTTTTGGCCTCATCGAAATGACTGACTGGGATTTGAGACTCAGGGTAGAATGTGATGAGAAGGTAGCATAGATCTGGTAAAGTCAAAGGAAGGGATTTTGAAGTGAAACTAACCTCAATCCCCCAGAGAGTGGATTCACACTCTGCCTCTCCCCATTTGAAGATGTTCAGTTCTAGTTCAGCTCCAGATAGAAAGCATTTGGCAGGATGGCAGGGGTTTTAAGAAATAGAAACATGTGCTTCTTTGTTACTGTTAGTGATACTGAGCCCTCTTTCTGATTTCCAGGTTGACCTGCCCCACAGGTTTACTAGCCTTCGATTAGGGACATCAGTACTATGATTCTGTTATCTGGGTCAGGATTGTGTAGGGGACAAACGTTCATAAAATGAGTTTAGAGAAGCATCTCGTTAGGGAAAACCATATAGGATGTTACTACATTAGCTTTGTGATTAGCTGATTTGTTATTACCAATAATTTTAATTTTAACTTGACTTTGCTTAAGATGGCAGTAATAAACAGGTTTTGATTTGCCTCTGTTTGCTTTTGCTTAAGATTGCAACACCTGCCCGGTATACCGTGACTTTGGGAGGAACATCCTTCACTGTGAAGTATCTGCGCAGTCATGGCTACATGTCCACACCACCACCTGTCAAGGAGTATCTACAGGACAGGATGGAAGAGACGAAGGAGCTTATCACAGAGAAAATGGAAGAAACAAAAGATAGACTCACTGAAAAGTTACAAGAAACCAAAGAAAAAGTTTCTTTTAAGAAAAAAGTGGAATAAGTGCCTAGTGCCTTATATAACAGTATAGAAAAATTCCTGCACTTTAACCCTTTGGAAACTATGGGCAAAGATACATGTCTGATTTTTTTTTTTTCCTTTTTTTGGTTAGTTGCCGAAATATACTAGTTCTCTGAGGGTTAAAGAAGTAATATACCTTTTTAAAGTTAAATATCACTAGAAAAATCAGTGTTTTTATAAGGAAAGAAATGAACCCATTATAAGAATTTCCCATCAATAACAGTATTAAGCAGTAGGTAATGTCTTAGAAGTCAGACTTCTTTTTCAAGGTCTTCAGAAGCACACTTGATTTCTGTTTTGTTGCAGCTGTAATTTTTACATACTAGGCAGTTGACTCCTTGAATAGCCAATGTGACCCATAAAACAGACTGTTAATACTGGATCTTAATTTTTATGTTATTCATTAAGGTTTTAACTGTATTCAGTATGTAATTTGGAGACAAACTAGCATCATCAAAACTGCCTGTGAATAAGAGGGTATTTAGTCTTTCTATAAAAACAGAATAGGACAGTTACCTACCAGTTAAAATATCTTATATGAAGAAAATAGAACAAAGATTTAGTCATTTATATGTAAATAAGATGTATTGGTTGTATGTAAATGAAACATGGATCCTTTAAAAATTATTTTTACCTGAAGCTTGTTTTTTAAAGCAAATATATATAAGGTGATGGTACTTTTCAACTATGTGTATTGGTGGCGATCACCTCAAACATAAACCTTTATTGTGAATCATTTGTGTCCTTTTCAACTGATCTTTCAGAGGAAAGGTAAAAAATCTTTACACCTTAAATTTATTGTTAAAATCAAGTATTTTTCTGCAGCAACTCAAGCTCATGGTTCTCAAACAGAAGAAGATTTGGGAGACTAAAAATGGAGTCAGGTTGTCATGGAGTTGGCTAACTCCTTGGGGTAGGCATGGTCCTTGCCTCAGCAAACCAGTCTTAGTTTCAGAATTAATTCTGATTTCATTATGGAGTAAATTTTTAAATTGTGGCTGCTGATTTTTGTCTTACATTGAAGGAAAATACCCTGACTTGAGCGATCTACTTGATTTTTTGATGGAGGTAGGGGGAAGGCAAGTCTCGAACTCCTGACCTCAAATGATCCACCCACCTCGGCCTCCCAAAGGGCTGAGATTCCAGGCGTGAGCCACTGTGCCCAGCCCTGTACTTGATTTTTTTTTTTTTTTTTAATGACAAAGCTGTCAAATCATTTGCTTGTAATGAAATTCAGCCATTGTCAGCTATGAGCATTGCAGTGGTGGGGGGCAGGGTTATGTTCGAATATGTATGTATCTGTTTCCTATGCTGTAACTGCGATTATTTCAGTTCTAACCCTTGAATTGCCAATTGGAGGAGGGAATGGCCTCTTTTTAGATTGTCCTTGTTTTGACTTACCTGCCAAGGCAAGAGAATGTCAGAGAGTTTGCCACACAGTCCTGCAGGGACCCCTGCTCTTTGCCAGGATTTTTGTATCAAGTACTTACTTTGGCCAAATATAGAGAATAGTTTAAAGGGGAAAAAAAGTTTGCAGTTGATGAGTCTAATTATTATTAGAATACTTTTTAAATGAATATGCTGTGATTGGAATCTTTGTTCCTGGGGGCCGGGGAGAGTGCTGAGAGCAGCAGCTGTGTCTCTGTTCTCTGCAGTGTTGGGCAGGCAGCACCGTTGTCTCTTGATAAGAGGGTTGAATGCACTACTTCACATTGATGCCACATTTTCAAATCTAGACATGAGTAACATATTTTAAATATTAAATAATTCACATTTTTGCAGATTCAATTGCTATTTTTTAAGATATTAAACACGTTTCTTGTTTATTTTTTCTTTTTAACCACTGGAGACTGCCTATGTTAAAATCTTGTGTTACATGGAATTCTTCTAAAATAATTTCCTTTTACTTTTCATGTTGCATATTTCCTAATAGGGATAAATTGGAGGTTCTTAGAAGTTACTAATAATCCTGAGACTAAAATTTGCTTTTTCTGCATAGACATCTTTTGTTCAGTCCATTTGAGTTTTGTTGCCTTCCAGTTTCATAATCATGTTGTGTTTATCTGATTATAGACAGTGAGGTCTATAACTGCTTGAGTGATTTGAAATTCTCTAGTAAAAAATTCTCTGAAGATATGGGAAGTTCTGTACTATTACTTGGCACCAGGAATGATACAAAAATGCTGTTGCTAGCATATTGCTAACCTAGTCCTTAAGCTTCAAATAGTTTAAATGGGGACCCTTATAATCTGTTAAGTTTGGAGTATTGTTAGCAGGCTAACAATATAGTACCAATATGTCAAGTTAAATAATTGAGAATATATATAGTAAATATAGTTTGCTATATGTAATAGACCTCATTTCATTTACAGTACATCTTATACTTGGGATTAATTCACCTGTAACCTCTGCGAACTGGTAGTAAAGCAGAAGCAGCCCCATGTCTCATGAATGTCTACATTTATATTTGTTTTTTTGAGACAGTCTCACTCCATCACCCAGGCTAGAGTGCAGTGGCACGATCATAGCTCACTTGCAGTCTTGAACTCCTGACTCAGGTGATCCTCCCACCTAAGCCTCCTGAGTAGCTAGAACTACAAGTGCACACCACGACACCTGGCTAAACTCATGTCTGCATTTATGCGAGGTGTGTGGACCTGGTGAGGAGGGAGCTATGACTGAGATTCACCTATATAAAATGCACAAAAAGGGTTTGCTAAGCAAATTGATATTTGAAATGACAGATGGATCAGGTAAGAGCATAATTTATTCAGGAATAAGAGCAAAACCAATGACATCAAAAAATGTATTTTACTGAGACAACCTTTTGTGCATACAACAGGATGCTGCTTACAGATTTCAAGAAGGAGAAAAAGAATGCTTATATTGAGATTACCTACCTCCCCGTAGTGAAAACAATAAAATTATGCCTTCAAATAATCTTGTGTTTATTTGTCACAGACTCTGCCTCCACTTATTTACAAGTGCTTTATGCTCAGGATGAAATGGAGTTAGGGATTCTGGCTCTCTTGTTTCAATGATCTTAGAAAATAATTCCAGGAATTCTAAAGATCTTTATAGTTTGAGAAAAAAAGTGAAGAAAAGAAGGAAATTGTATATTCGACACATTGAGCTTCCTTCTGTGTTTAGTGTTGGGTTTAGGTCATTCAGGATTTCTTAACTGATTCAGACATAAACCAGGCTACTGTAGAAGATAGTAATGGTGATGAAATGGGCAGAAGATGATTTTTAGCAAATAAGGCAAAAAAGTCATCTTTCCTGCTTTTTCTGAAATGATAGTATGTTGAGAAGATATTTTTGTGAGATACGTATTTCTGAAGTAGAGGATTCCTTCTGAAAATATAACTTGTTAGGTAATGTGGACACCATTTTTTTCTGTTGCCCACAGTTCATTTTTTGAAATGGGGGTCTTCATTTTTTTCAGATTTTCAAAACTGAGTCTCCATAAGGCCTAAAATAAAATAGATGAAATATTATCAAAGTTGTTTGCACCTGTTTAAATATCTTTTTTGTGAGCCACTTACATTTTTTGGTACTGAAAGCTCACTACTCCATTATCCTTATGAGCGTGAAAGTCTCAGTGCCTCAGATCATACTGGCCCACATGCCTGAGTGGCACCTGCACACTCAGGAAGTGGAAGCCTCTTCGCTGTCTGCCTTGGAATTCAAACACCTAAGCCAGAAATCTGTAGAGCCAGAGGTGGGGAATTTTACTTACTCATTCTGCAGGTGTTAATGTTCTCTTTTGGATCATTTGTGTGTTACGTAGAATCAAGTTAGTATTAAACAAGGTTGCAGAAGGGACTGCATTGTGTTCCCTGAGGACAATAGGAGTCAAGACCTCATTCTTCCCTTCTGGGCTTGAATGGTATGGGGGACAGACCACACTCCTTCCCAGAATTCATCTGCAGTCATGATTTTGGCCTGGCCTTATGGTTCTTGAAAGATCTTTCTCCTGCACTTGGAGCTTGTAACTTGTGTTTGAGAAATGCTGAGTCAGGCCAATTGATAGTATTTTCCCTCTGTAGATTTTTCCTTTGTGACTTTTGTGTCAAGTTTGTTCACTTTAGTCAAAACAAGCTTTTAATTGTCTTGCTTCTTCAGGGTTAGGCTTTGAAAATCAAGCTGTATTCTTTATGCATCATTGACAGTCACCAACAATAATTATAGATCATAATTATCCCGTGGCAATTATGATAAGAATTATTAGTAGAAAGAAAGCATCCTGATTTCAGAAACCAGGGCAGGGTATAACGTGAAGCCTGTTGTTTATTCTGCTGACTTGATTGGACATCGTAGTGGAGAGATGGCACAGGCAGCCAGAGGCATTCTCAAGAGTATCATGTCTCCACAGAGGAAGGGTGCTTATGGAGAAGCACGTTTCCGTGTGTTTTCTCTGGGACAACATGCTCCACAGGAAAAGTTGAGTACTGTTAGACATGTCCTGCCTGCTGCCAAAGCCAATTTTCACTCCTTGAAAGTGAGGATTGAATATAACCTCTCTTCTTTTCCTTCTCTCTCCCTCCCTCTGTCCAGCTGCTTCTGTTTTATATTTTAAATAATTTAAATGTTAGAAAAACTTTGAAGTGAGAAAGAAAAAGACAAATGTGCCCTGAGCATGCCAGGTACGCATTCTGCTTGACGTTTCTGTGTGGACCTCCCTGTTGGTGGTCCCTAGGGGAGGATAGGCACACTGTCCCCAGAAAGAGGAGGACAGTGAACTCAGAGCTGCATTTGACTGATACTAGGCTATTTTTAATACTTAGAGCAACAACATTAAAACCTAAACTTCATCCTTTTGATAAAATGAACTTCCCCTCATTTTTTAATCAAATACATGGCAAAAGCCTTATCCTCTGATAGTTCCATAAAGGCTGTATTCTAAGCGTGTAATAAGAAATACTGGCAATTCTGTATCTTCTCTTACACCAATTAGATGTTTAACTCTTTAAAACCTGCATTTTTTTTTTTTAATGAACACATGGCATTTTCGCATACACGTGTATTTCAGCCTTACTGTCTGTACTCCTCTATATACAAGATTTGTGACTTTATAATGGCTGAAGCAGAGTTTAATGTGTATTTTATTCCTTTTGAGTCGATATTTTCTTTGGACACTTAAGATGGTGACTTAATTAGTGCAGTTGCTTTACTTCTCTAAGAATAGTGGCGACTCTGGTTCTCTTATGATAAGGGTGCCAAAAGTCCTCACATACCGGCCTGGATGATCTCAGCTGCAGCCTGGAGCTGGAATTACAGGGCTTTGTTGCCATAGTGCTGCATCAACATGCACTTCTTATGCTCTCATTATTCAAGAAGATGCATGATAACGATGGGTCACAGTTTGCATTCCTCACTTCTTTCGGTCCCGAAATAAAAGTCACACATGCCAACAAAAAATTGAGAATATTATTGAACAAATATATCCACAAAGCCTAATGCAACTTTTGTTGAGAAATATTCATTAATTGTATTTCAAACACGTTTTAGATTAATAGTTTTTTTGCATTCTAAATCAAACCCTAGGCTTACAGAACCAATGAATTTGACACTTCATGGGTCACATTAGAACCAATATTTTTAGTTGAAGAAAGAAGCACAAGAGAACTGGATTTAAAAGTGGGATCTCAACTTACAGTTTAGTGCTTTCCTTTGGTGCCAATTATGTAGATAAAAGTCCAGGCTTTCGTACTTCTGAAATCCCTTGTATTTTTGGAAACAGAAACTCAAGCCAATTTTTTTTTTTTTCTTTTTTGAGATGGAGTCTCACTCTGTCACCAGGCTGGAGTG